TATGCGACCTACTGGATTCTTCCAGTCAGAAAATTCATATTATAACATCTGTTTTCCTAGGTTACCACTACAGCACAATATTCAAATGCTGATTATCACATACAACGTCAGGCCATTAGGACGGCTACAAGGACTCAGAGCACCAGACTGCAGATGAATACCAGGCTGCTTCATGGTTACCATTATACCACGTGCATTATTTGTGCATAGCGGCTCTGAAAATTTTGAAGCTAACTCCTTCTTTGGAAAGACAACAGTGCAACCCTTATTAGAATTGCTCATTAAAGAAATACATCTCTTAGGAACAAAATGCCAACAGAAAATGAGGAGAAACAGATGGGAAAGATAGAAATAGATTGCCTCAACCTTTAGCCCTGTGTCAGAAATTTGTTCTGCCTTTGAAAACATTTGGTTTAGTCTTCTGACTCAGATTTTCAGAGGGCTTTTATAATCCTTCGGTGGCGCACCTGTCGGTTAATCCCTTGTTACACTCTATCTCGGATCACCTCACAGCGAGAAGAGCTGATGGACACGCTCCCAGCCCTGTGTAGATTGCTGGGATGAATTGTTCTTCGGGTACAGAGGACGCCGTGCTGGAGGTCAGGACAGCTGCGTGACAAGCTGGCACTGCACCGAGGGACCTCTCTCCGCAGATGGAGACAAGGCAGAGTGGAGGATATGTGATACCTCCCTGCATCCTGCCTTGAGACTGTATTATACACTGCACACTTTATTTCACTCCTCCCCCCACCCCTGCTTCTTTTTCCCTCCTTGCTTTCCACGCCTGCTTTTCAGACTCTCCTGCAGCAACACATAATAAATTTAACCTTGCAATGTTTTGCCATGACCAGGCCAAAAGCTACAAGTAAGCTTAAGTGGCCTGATTCTAAAAGAAATAAGTCTTACTCCAATGTAATAAGGGTGTTTAAAATGTGGTGAACCGGAGCATTCCCACTGCCTACATCACTGCAGACCCATTCTACACTTTGATGGCTTTTAGATTTTTTTCCCTTTCCCTCTCTACATTAAAAAAAAAAATAAATCAGCATTCACAACAAAATCTAAGAACTGTCATTATCTTTTTTCTCAGAAAGGCTAGATGATACTTTGATGAAAGTCAAGCTATGGTAAAATATACAGGTACACTGGTGTAGAGACAAAAAGAAATACCAGCTGAAGATTTCTCTTCTTCTCGTCTTTCTTCCCCTCATTCCTTTTTTCCTTCCCTAAGCTTAAAATAGCATTTAAATTCTTGCTTATTTTGCCAGAGAGCAGCTTTCATTGCCAAAATAAGTATCTGGGAACAGAAGCCAAAGCCTGTATTACTGTAAAATAAAAGAAAGGTAACAAATAAGGTGTGCATAGACCATAACATCCCCAAATCCTTCCATATGTAGTCCAGCCCATAATGATCTCTCAACAGAGCATGTGACAAAGCATGAAAATTCCCGTCTTCTCATATCCATCTGCAAAGCCTTGTTTTAATTTTGCAGCTCATAAGATTTGTAGCACCATATCAGACATCCCTGTTCACTTCACAGGCTGCAAACACCATAACTTGTGGATAGCTTCTTAAAGACATGATAATGACATGCTCTTCCATAAAAACTACCCAAGGAAGTCACTTTTTTTTTTTTTTTTTTATCTTCTGTCAGTACCTCAGATATAAGAAGGTGTTAATGATGGTGAAAGTGGATGCATAAATAGTCATCACTGCGTATAAAGTAAAAATCAGACACAATACAGCCTAAAATAACTCTTGTTACCCTCTGGACTACAAGTTTGTCTGTGAATTTATTTTTATCACCTTTATTATTTTTTTAATAGCAAAATTTCTTTGAAAAAGAGAAGAGACAAAACAAAAGAATATCCCTAAAAACGAAATTGGCCTTAATAAAGCTGCGACAATGCTAACCTTGTGCTCCTGGCTCAAGGCTGAGAATTATTGAACTGTAGCTCTGCCACTTGCTGCCCCAGTACAGGGCAATCCCTAATGACATGGGAGCAAGTACAAGTCCTCTGTACTCCTGGAGCAGTTTTATTTATGAAGCTTCATGCTCTTGTTATAAAGGAAAGCATTTATTGCAACAGAAAGGAGTAACCCAGGGATCCGTGGGGACATGAGGCTTCATAACCTTTGCTTTCTTAGACTGATTATCAGTTTAGAGGCATATTAGAGCTGACAGAGATCTCTCAGGAAAAGATAACGCTGTTTTTTTCTCCAAAGCGTCTGTGGGTAGACCCATACTTTTTCTGCAGACTTTACAAACATTCAGTACCGGTTGCTTCTACCTCATTTTTTAAAGATTTAATCCCTTGTTTGAAGTATCAGACTTTTAAAGCATACATCCCTCATGAGTGAAACTTTTGCCAGTGCTCTTTAAATAGGAGCGCATTAAAAGCAAAGTTTTGACTCCTGGCACGGCGCCCTAGTGGCAAATGGCCTTCCTGGGGCTCTAACCCATCCAGGCTGGAACCTCCCCAGTGCTGCGGGTGGAGGTGGGGCTTGTGGAAGTGTTCGGGGAGGAAAGGCAGACCTTTCCTCCATCCAACACCCTCTCATGAAAAGCAATCTGCCCTTGGCCGAAACCTCTGAAAGAGGCTTGCTTTCTTTTTCCCAGCTTCCTTTTTATGGGAAAAAGGGAGTGATCAGCAGTGATGCAAACAGGAAAGGACTGCTCTCCAGAGAAGTGTGACTACTTTCATCTAATGATAATAGAGAAGACAAGCAATGTAGGCATTTACAAGAATTTGGAGTAAAATGCAATCCAGATTCTTCAACTGCATCCACTCAGCCAATCTCTTGCAAATTTGCCCCCTTCCACTGGGTGGTGAAACTCAGTTATGAGCCCAAAGTTTCTGCATGGACAACATTTGTTCATCTGGATCTGAGGTGGGAAATCAGGGCTGTATGTTCCTTCACCAGCACTTTACTGGGATAGTCCAGCATTAATTGTACAATACATGAAGCATTACTAATCAGCTAGACCACCAGGAATGAAACTGATACGCTTGCTTGTCTAGACACTGACATTATCTAAAGGAATGTGTATGGATAGAAGGGAGAAAAAACAAAAAACAGAAAGATGAAAGCATACCTTTGTGTGTTTGGGGTGTACCTTACACCTCGAGCACAACATGTAGCACAGCTTGAAACAGGGTTGCCCATTTAATTGCTATGCCAGCACCCAGTACATTTGGAAAGAAGATTCTACCTTCTCCCCCCACCCGAATAAGTATTTTTTCAATGAGGAATAGAAGTTATTTATTGAAAAATAAAAAAGTAAAAGCAAATTAGAGGTTAAAAAAAAAAAGCTATACAAAAAACATCATCAGAGAAACAGAATATTTTACAAGAAATATGCCTCAATTCTCCTAACAAAGGTGAAAACAGCAACCAATTATTCAAACAGCATCTGCCACACTAAGTGATGTTTCAGTGATGCCACAGCGTACCAGTTAAAAGCCAATGCTGATTAAGAAAAGCATCCATTAGCCCAGGAAAGTAAAATCTAGATTCCTACTGGAGATCCAGCATCCTTTATCAACTTTAGGTAACTATATTCCTCACCTGTTGGGACCTTTTCTATTAACTAGGCCAATTATACAATTAAATTGCTATTATACGCAAGTTCCAACCACTAGTAATTTCCATATATTGACACCATACCTTGCCAATTTTTGTGAAATAATAAAAACACAGTCTGTTTAGAGATTTAGAGATCAAGGCTTAGGTCACAAAGTCAAGAACTAAAATACAGAACCTTCCCTGAAAGTTCAAGAGGTGGACCAGAACTGCAGACTAAGACAGAGTTGTAGCTGAAGCCAGATTCATTTTCAGTAACTTCTGGTGTTTGCAGGAATCGCATCTGCACGTTCTTCTGCACTAACAAAGGTGTAGTTCAAGTGACAAAAAATACACCAAACTAATTTATATTATGCCCTCTGAGGCCTAATTCACATTTACAGCCAAACAAACAATTTTAAATAACAGCTTCTCCAAATATTTCTTGAAAAAAAGAAAAAAGAAATAAATACTCCTGTCACTTTGTTTTTAATAATTTTCCAACATCCGCAATACCTGATAAGTTAAAGCTGAAATTAATTTAGCTAAAAACTACTAGATGTTATTTTCACATAATAGCTCTATCATACTATGGTGATACACAATGACTATATTTTTTTTTAATTGCTGCTTTTTTTCCCCCCTCTAATATCCCTGATTTGTAGAAGTAACCTAACCTATTATCAATGCTACGTACTCGCTGAAGCTAAATGAGAGAAAAAAAAAATCACAGCCCACATGTTTTTTTTGTGGCAAAATACTATTATCCCCTGGTGAATTTGCACATCCCCTCACAGAGTTCTCCACATATATTTCCCAATATGGAATAGTGCATCTTTTTCCTCCTTTAAATGTCATGCCCACTTCTTCCACAGTGCCAGTCAAAAAGTAGCTGAGTTGTTTTTTGTTTTTTTTTTGATTAACTTTTGTCATATCCATTTTCCTTCGTATCTTCAGGCAGCATTAATTTGGGTTTAAATTAGTAAGCTAAACACGTGGAAGCACAACTCCAGGGAACTAAACTTCATGGTATTCTAGCAAGTTTGTTTGAGGAAAATACACTTTCTCCCCCAGCCTTGGACATTGTAGAGCCTTGCTTGTCTACCTTTTGGATAGAAAATTTTATCAAAACAGTGTTTTTCCAGTGTTGAAGCCACAAGCAGTGTGTTTAAGAGCTACCAGAGCTACAGGAGTGTAATCACAGTCATGGGCCCCGGCTGGCAAGCTCCTAAGGGCTGCACGATAGCATCCATTTACTAGCACGCTAGTACCCAGTCACAGTCAAAGGCTTTGGGTCCCTTATTTAACACAGTACAAGTAGATTCACAGGTCAAAATGACTGACAAGACATCTGATATGAAATACCCCTGGTTAAACAACTAACAATAGCAATAAAAACAAGTAAGTAATAAGTGATACCTAAGGTCTTACTCACCATAAATTCCCGTTGAAATGCAGGGGAATGCCTGTAAAACAAGTGAAAGAACAAACATTAGTGGGATTTCTGTTTTCTGAACTTTTTATCAAAAACTGAGCATATTTTTAAGTGCCTGTTTTTCAACACCCAGCAATTACATATTGGAGACTTCACTGTTACAGCATTCACTCCACAAGCATTTTCATGTCATTATATGAAACATATTCCATATGTTTTCCTTGCTGCTAAGTTAATAAAGCCATATTCTTTTTCTCATCTCAAGCTATCAGCAACATTTGAACCAAGAATCATTATTAAAACTCCCTCTTGAGCTAAAAATTATCACCATGAGCTGAAAATGAATGCCATGAGCTAATGCAGTAGAAGAAGGTTGTATTCTTTGGATAGAGTTAGACCATGTTGCTTCAGTGGTGAAGTAACCTTGGCCAGCTTAAACCCTTCCCTCCCCTGCCTCTTGGCCACATTGGTTCACTACAACCTCCCCTTTTGTTTCAGAGGCTCTTTTTTCAGCTGGGTTCTTTCAGCCACAAGGTATATGATGCCACCCAACACACAGCTGCACTGGTACAGGTCAGGCATGCCAATTGGTGCAGGGAGAGGAATGAGAAAGTGATGGGCAAAAAGAAATTTGGTAAATTTGGGGGCCAGCTTGGATACCAAAGAAAATGTATCATGCAGCAAAAAATCATTATGTACATTGTGCTATAAAGAGCAGCGATTTACATGTCTCCAAACCGTAAGCCTTGTCTAGAGATTTGCATTTCCAAGAGTCAGACTCAGCCTTCCACCAGAAGAAACCCCAGCTGTACTAGTGACATGGCTTCACCAGAGAGACAATTTTCTTTGTATGCCGCTGATACGTGATATCACCTTTGCCTCCCACCTCCGGACTGACAGCAAACACAGCTCCAAGCTACAAGAGCACCTGGAACAGGAGTCTCAAATATCCACCCTCAGGCTTGCTCCAGATCCCCTGGCGATGAGTCATCACACAAAAGAAAGGAATTCTTCTTTACTTAATCACACAGGAAAACATTATTCAAAGCTAATGCTAGCTTTATATTTAACCAGGGAATTAATTAGGGAATGGTGATTAAGAAAGGAGAGGTCTAATGGAAAGAATACAGCCTTCCCCTCCCCTCTGAAAATACTGAAGTAAAATAAAGTGGGGGAGAATTATAGTCTCACTCCTTCTCACAACCACTATGACTTACATCCTGAAAAATACTTAGCTTTGTAGTTTGTACCCAATAAATCAGCCCTTTAAGGAAATGAGGAATGGAATAGAAAAAAAAATGCATATGGTTACAGAGCTCAGGCTGAGGTGGCAACGGGCACTCCAGCACTGAGAGACAAAAATGATGATTTTGTCCAGTTTTGCAAGAGATTTTAAAATTCACCAGCACTGTAGTTCCACGTGCTGAAAGACAGTTGCTCTAAACAAGCGCTTTGCTCTCAGTATTTTCTACAACTCAAGTCATGCACATGCTTTCAATATTCCTACCAGCCAAAGGGAATGAGAAAGGGAGGGTTCAGGTTCCTGCTCTTGCCCCATCACTAACTCCGGACACTGGGAAACAACTCTCCAGCTCCTCTCAAGTCCCACAGCTCCAACAGCCCCACAGCTCCTTGGGCTGCACCACACAGCGATGCAGCACCACCAACTCAAATCCTTGCGCGGGTGCACAGCCACCATTGTTGGGGCCGCGGAGCCACCAGCATTGAGCTGGTGAGATTTCAGATAAAAACTGGGGGCCATTAGGTCCAGCCCCTGCTCCAGAAGGGCCACCTCGAGCCAGTGCCCAGCTGCAGCGTCCACTGGGGCCCCTGGAGCTCAGTACTGAAGGGGAAGCCTGCAGACCACAGGTGACTGGGCTTCCTTTTGAGCTCTGCTCAGGGAAAAGGAGATTAAACAGAGTTGCATTTTTGGCATTGCATGACAGACGCTTATCACATTTCTCCATCTTCCTTCACGGAATATACCGCTCCGAGGCTGTTTAGCAAGCTTTAGCAAGCAATTTGTGCTGTGCATGTTCCTTAATACCTATTTTAAAATTACTGTGTAGACGCATCATAATCATTACCTTGCTTTCAGTTTCTATCGTGTACCTTAAATATATGTGAGAGAAGCTAAAAGATTGTGTAAAATCCTATCAAGTGTCTTCCAAATACCAGCCTGTGCCATAACTTAGGTGAACTCTGCCCTCTCCCTCATTGAGAGATGATCACCGCATATAACCAGCAGATGTAATTTCGTAAAATATGACAGCGCTTTTATTCATTCAAGAAAGGCCCGTGCCTCAGATCGCATATCAACTACGTTTCCTCTTGGCTCCTAGGGAGACAATTTAGTCTAGATGCCAGGTTGAAATTACTGGCAGAGCAGTAATGGGGAACTCACAGCATGGATATCAACATACTACAATATTTGGCTGATGGACAAAAGATGTTAAGGTTTCTAACCTTTTCTGTGCATAATATCTTAATTATATATTTGATTTCAATAAAAAATCCAATTTCACAGTAGGAAACGTTCATTCCTATTACCACAATAAAATGTTCCTCATCTTAATTTGTTGCCAGTAACTGCTATTTATTGACTAACCTTTAATTTCTTTGCTACTGAAATAGTGTTTGCTTTACTTGGGGGCTAATAAGCAATGCTACCCTGACAGCACTCAGAACAGATTCAGCTCTGGAGTAAAACACAAGTAATAATGGCAAGAGCTTCCTACTCTGCTGCTGCCATCATCTAGAGAAAGAGGCCAAATTAAATCAGCTGTGTGAATACGGCAAGACTGAAATTGATTTAATTCCTGTAGGAGAGGATGTGGGCACTCAGCCTCTGGTACTTTCTAATCTAATGTTTCTTTACTAAGGCTACAGCTAGCAGCACTAATTAGGCTGAAACATAATGCAGTTTCATGAGGAAAACTTACAATAGTCACCATGTGGAGGCCAGGTTGGACTCTCAGGCATTTAAGTGAGAGAGACCTGGGTATTTAAATACTTAAGGGCTTGTCTACAACAAGGGGTACTAGCTCACACTGAGCCGCAATGTATTAACTGTTATACCTTAGATGCACACAATCGCCACGTCTACATGAGCAGATACCTCCCACTGCAGGCCTAATAATTGCTTCCACAGAGCAAGAACTTTCTTTAAATTAAGTGCTCAGTGTTCTGCTTGGGCATCCCAGGGTCATTTCTGCCACAACAGAGCCCCATACAAGGTAAATACTTTTCTCCCAGGACACACACAGCAGACAACAATAATATCAAAGACAAACTGAGCTTTTCTCTGACTTCAATGCATCACCTCACGAAGTGCACTAACTAATATTCATCTTTGGGAGTCATTTCTTCATGCAGAATCCTTCATTACCGAATCTTCACAAATAATTCATGGTGTTTTTAAAGAGTCTGTGTTTTTACCAACATTGCAGGTAGAAACATGTTTCTTTTTAATATGTAGTTGTCCAGTGAAATCAAAATTTCTCAATATCTCTGTGTTGAAGGTAGCTAACTGTGTTACACAAAACACAAAGCTTCTCCAATAAATTCAAGGCAACAAACATTCCCTCAGATGGAAAAAAAAAAAAAATGGCCTTACACTTCATACTTGGACTTTTTTCTTGGCCAGTCTCCTTGCTAGCTGGGGCCTATGACAGCACTGCAAAAAACTCTCCACCTGAGCCTGGGGACACTCAGACATTGCTGTTCTCAGCAAATCAGCCTGGAGGGGCAGAAGGGGACTGTTCACAAAGCAAAGTCACTCCATGTATCCTGAGCAATCTGGGACCTGAGCTTACAGACCTTTTGCTGGTGGAGGTACAGGTAACCAACGCTGGGTAAAGGCATATTCAACAAACACCATGCTCCTCTGACATCTCTAGAAGCTGCATCTTCACCTTCCTCTTCTTTTCCATAATCTGAAGTAGCAGCCAGCCTTTGCTTGATTAACACGATGCCTTCCTCTATCAGCTCAAGCTGGGTTACTTCTCTTCCCCTCTCCCACCTTCCTCCAGAGCCTTACAAAGCCTCACGTGCTCCTGAACCGCCTGCTTTTATCCCCTTGAGACACTGCTAGGAGTTATCCATTCAGAGCCTCTCTTCTGAACCTCCTCCCCTTCCCCCTCTCCCTTTTTTTTTTTTTTTTTTCCAGTAAGTGGGAGGTTGCCCTGGGTTTTGGCTTTGAGAACCACACCAGTGCAATTTTATTCTTCATGGTGGCCAAGAAAATGATATGCAGCCTGTTTTTTTTATGGACCAAATGTAATCCTTCCACTTTGAAATACTGTCCCTACAGAGTCTTCACAATTGTGGAAGCACTAACATCTGATGCCAAAGAGACCCGAAGCTCCAAAAATCGAAGTGCCAAAACACTTGCCAAGCCTGCATCCTGGTTTCAACAGGAGAATGCCCCGTCCTGCCACTCAGAGGACCTGACCCCAAACTTAGCCAACCTGTGCTCTAAGTGCCTCACAGAGCTTTTTTAATAATAATAAAAAGTTGGACCCAAGTGTTGTTTTTTTTTTTTTTGTTTCCACCCCCTCACCCCCCACATCTTCCTTCATTTACACCAAAATATTAGAGTAAGATGAGCTCCTCTGTGCAGCATACATCCGTGTCTTAAAAGGAGCATGGCCAGCACCTTTGCTAGATTGTTTGTTGTGTGGTTGGTGATTGCCTCATGAGCCGAAGTGGTAGAGGAGTGGGCAGAGAGAAAATTGCGTGTTTATGAAGAGCCCTGACAACACGGCTCTGCCGTGATTCACTAGGGTGAATGCCAGAGGGACTCTGCAGAAGCAAAGCAGAGGTTTGCAAGGGAAAGCTGCCTATGCTACAACAAGCTCTGCTGCATAGATTTAAAGTAGTAATATGGGACTTTTCACACCTTAAGTTCCCATGTGTATTGTAAAAGAGTTCACTCTAAATATAGTATTTGTAATAACTTCATAGAACATCACAGATTAATAATGTTCTTGTTTCCTTGTCACTTATCTACCTCTATAACACTTCCTATGC